TAAAAGTCTACAGAATGAATCATATGTAATCAAAAAAATGTGCATGGAGAGTGGTATCGTACGGTTCCGAATAGTTTAGTTTAGTTTATTTAACCATGTAATTCAAAATTATGTATATGTAGAAAAGTTATGAATGTGTGAGTGTAAAATATAGTTTGTCTTATTTGTATGGAGTTCATTAAAGCTGCAATAGATAAATATTGAAGGTTATCCGAAGACTTGAAAAATTAGGTCGACATGATTCTTGGTAATTAAGATTGAATAGAATTCTAATTGCTATTTTTTGGAGTCTACAAACCCTTATTGCGTGGTTACAATTTTCCCATAGTATGACCGCATAATATATTTTAGAGTGGAACAATGCAAAATAGACGCTTCCTAGGACGGCCGTACTAAGTGTGTTTTTCAACCTTCTAAGCACGAAAATCATAGATGCTAATTTGTTACATAAAACATCAATATGAGCACTCCAATTAAGATTATCGGCAAAGGTGACACCAAGCAGAGTGACACTATCACCCTTAATAATTAAATTAAAAGTTTTGTTTTTTCTGATTATTTAAAAATAAATTGTTACACAAAAACCAAGAGTGAGCTTCAGCTCAACCCCACAGTACATCTAATCTGGTTAAAGAAGAGTTCCTGCAGAATATTGTCGTATCGTCAGCGAAAAATGCACATTTGATGGTACTAATGCATGAGCGGAAATCGTTGAAATGAAGAAAAGTGGCTCTAGGACAGATCCTTGAGGGACTCCCTGTTTTAGATTTAAAGTAGATGAATCATTCCCGTTTACACTAACTTATTGTGTTCGATTTTTAAAATACGATTCAAAAAATAATAGTATAAGTAATAATAAAATTTCAATACGCAATCAAGCGCTTTCGAAATATCGCAAAGAGACAGTGACACATGGTCGCCATTTTCCAGACCATTAACGATCTCCGAAGCTACCGACGAACTGCATGTGTAGTAGATTTTTCCAGGAAGAAATCCCCACTGTTTCTCGAAAAAAAAAGGATCTACTTAATAAATAATGTAATTTCAATTCTTTTAGTATTATTTCGCAAATTTTGCCAAAAATAGGGACCGTAGAAATAGGTCGATAATTGTTTAAATCGAATAATTATTTCACCTTTACACAATGATACTGAAAATCATTTTTTCCACTCAAATTTCGTACTCAATAACGTGATACGACATTAAAAATTGGCGCATTTTAGGTCTCCTGTCTAAATTTTCTCTCCGCATTAAAACCCGGAAATGTTTTTCGCCAAGCACAACGTAAAAACCCAAGAAAATGTCCGTCACATTTGAGTCGTAAACGTCGCAAATTTACACCGGAGACATCTGGATAATATTAAAATTTCCCCGCCATAAATTATGTAGGCGTGACTCTAATCCTGAATTATGATGGAATTGCACCTTATGCCGTCTTCCCCCGACGTTTTGTTCTTATATTTACTGTGAGGATAACATCACTTTCTCGGATAGGGACCCTGATCCCGTAATATAAATTACTCTTAATCCTGACTTGCTCTGGCACCGCATCAAATAAAATATTTCTGGCGTTTAACAAATGTAATGGGACGAGGCGCGAGACACGAGGAACAACCAAGCCGCACATTTGATGGAAGCTAGATTTAAACGAGGCAACGTAGGAAACACATAAGCTCGAAACTCCAGAAGTAGCAAAACATTTGAGAGCTGCTCACGTGTCATGATTCTGATTCTAAACGCGAAAGTTTTCCATAAGATACTACTAGGAATATATCTGTAATAATATAATATTAGCAATATTATAATAATAATATGAAAGTATTATTAGTATTAATATTAATAACAGTATTCTGAGATGTCAGGAAGGGCAACTAGGTACGATATTAGGAATTTCAGAAATGGCCCTCGGGGGGGCGTAGTATTTTAAACTATTTTAAACCTGAGACAAAATCTTTTTTTTTTATGATGTCGGTTGCTCCATCTCTGCAAGGAAAGTGTGTGTGTGGGGGGTGGGGAGGTGTTATATCATTTTCTTTAATAAATATATATCTCAAAAGAGGCTAACTTTAATAAACTTGGAGTTGTTAAAAAACACTTTTCCTAGACTATTAATCGTACCATAAATGGCGCGATTGCAATTGCCTAGCTTGCTATAAGGTGACGTTCTCGGACATAATAGCAAAAAAAAACGATCTTCTGAAAAAACGGTAAATGTATCGATATGACTTTCCTAATGTCATTAGATGGTCGAATAAGAGCCCAAGAGCCATCTCAAAATCTTTGTCATAACCTAAAATATGAATGAGAGTACCTAAAGCTCAAAAATCAGTTGGATTTTGGGAAAAATTTCCGCTTTACAGGTTGTTAATATTTAATTTTCCCGAATTTACCAAATCAAAAGATAACTTAATATTTAGGGTACCAAATGATATTTTAAATAAAAAAAATTATCTTTATTTTTTTTTTGCAATACCTTCGACATTACTACTACGTTTTGACATACTTAGTCGTATTCAAATATTTAGTATTAACACTCATTTTTTCATTAAAAATTAGGTTAAGCCAACTAACCAAAACTAATCAATTGTTGAGGACTAACCAATTTTATAAATTGTTGAATTATCTGTGTGCAATGTGAAATGAAGAGAAAATTTCAATGACTCCAGAAAAAATGGTATGGGTGACTAAAACATTGCAATTAGACCTATGCCTAGACAAGTACTCAGTCAATCACAAATCTAATGATTCCGAAGAGTCATTTAATTGAAAAAACTGTATGCGTTTGTTTTAAAAACAACTGTGTTTCAATATAATCTAAATTAGCCCTGAATGTTCGCTAATTATCCAAAAATTTATTTTATAGAGCATTAAAATTAAAATAATTAATATAATATTGGATTTTATGCAGCACTTCTCTTTTTCGTTTTTAGTTTTGGCGTTACGGATTAGTCTCATACATCCACATGGAAAAGATATTTGTGCTCAAGTGATTTAATTAGAAGGTCCGTACACTAAAAACTATGTTTATTAAGTGACAAAAAATTAAAGAACAACGTCTCAAAGCAAAAATACAACAAAATAAACACATTTTCCTCGATAAAATTGCATCGTATGAACCACCAAAAAATTTGCAATTAAAAATACATGTATTTTTAGCAGCCGGTTTTTTTTTTAGAAAAATACAAGCAGAAACACATCATGTTGAAATTATATCGTGTCTACAGGGCTTAAGCACTGACAATAAATCACTAGAAAGAACACCAAGAATTGAGATATCAAGAGATCCGCAACGACTAATCCGGGACTTTCGGCAAATGTCAAGCAACATAGGACACAGAACAGAAGGCGTTAAATATTTGACTGGTCCAATGATGCTGTTATCTGCATTTTATTTCTGTAGAAATAGGCAAGAATTTGGTTAATTTTGGCTGGTTTCCGTTATTCTGTTATTGATTTAATAGAGAAGAGAGAAGAAAAAGCTGTTACTACAAAATACGTACATCGGAGGGAGAGTACAACTTGGCAAAAATAGACTAGAATCAAACATTTAGCGCATTCTCCAACAACCCGATGAAATTTACATATAAATAATTTTATATGAAACAAACATGGTAAAACATTTCAATATACTGCATTAAAGTGACGTAATACCTGAGAGTTGATTAAAATCCATGTTTCTATGGATATATGTATTCCTGAACGATCACAGCAGGTTGTAAGGGCTCAAAATCTTCAATTCCGTTAATGAACTAGCACCGAACAAAATATATGTTGTTTTCACCTTATATTTATTTATGTGCGTTTTTATTATTTGGTTAATTGTGGTGTTATCTTTTATCCGATAACCCCTTTAACCCTCTTTACAGTTAACCGCCATTATCGCCTCATTTTGTATGCGGGGTTAGAAGTACACTGGTGACAACCGATAACACTTTTTTTCAAACGTACCGAAAATCTTTTTAATGTCAACTTGAATGAAGCAATGCGTGTCCCTTATCAGTCACTTAGATTACGATTAACGGTAACGTAATGGGATCTTCTACGCTTGAAGGAAAATATTTTTGATTTCAAGTTCAACAACGTATAATATGAGGATTCGAGGTAGTTATATAAATTAATCTTAAATATATATTCGATTTTTTATAGAAAATTCTTAAAGCAATTTCACATTTTCCATTTTAGTAAAATACTTATTTTTTTTATTTTTTCAGCTATTTATCATTAGCGTTCTTTTTTAATTTCTATGGAATATTAATTTTACCTTTTTCCGATTATATTTAAAAAAAAATAGGAGAAATTCAAGGACAGTTATTGCAGCACTGTCTTGTTGAGTTTTAATATGAGAATATTTTCGAGGTTGGACAGTGTAGAGATGCATAAAATTGTTTGTGTTGCGCCATCTGGCGTTCGGATAGTATACAAGTGATTTAAATCGAACCCAAGCGCGTGGGAAATGGTCTATCGAAACGATGACTATATTGCTCATAGAGGTCACTACGAGATATTTTTTGTTGGTAACAGTTTACCTTACCTTGCCTTTTTGGGCCCATTTCAACTGGGTTGTAATTTCCAAATCTTAAGTTAGGTAAGAATAATTTATGTATCCGCTAAACGGAATCCTACTTAAGAGTAAAAAGCAATTTTGCTTGTACATTTCCGATCAACTCTGCGAGTGTATTTTTTCCATATTTTTTTTGATGCAACTAGTAATAAGAAAATTTAAGGTAATAAATAATACATAAATGAAATTTTGTCCCTGCTGGAAAAAGAATATCTGACCTTTTGTCGAATCGTGTGAATAGGCAATCTTAAAAAAAAATAACTAAATGTCACAGCGGCCTATTCCCTGTCAGTATAAACAGAAAAAATTGCATTCAAAAATGTGTGTCGTGTGCTAGGAGACGGATTCAGGTTACCTTTTTCCACTAAAAATTTCATTGCCGCTCAGTGTTGCCGTTTTTCCGTTTCCGTTCAATAGTACACCAGTGACTAAGCGCAAACATTTTTGAATTGAACTTATTTATTGTAAACAATATACATAATTAAAAAGTTTTTAGAATGTGGTTCGCTATACCTCCTTGCTTCCGAAAACCCTCAGGGAGTGACCTGCAAAAACATTGACATTTCTCAATAATATTGTGTTATTACTTCTTTATTTTGATCAGTTTTGGAGATATGGAACTATTAAACTGTGTTTAGCACTTTACCTACCTGAACACATTTTCCATTTACTAAAATGTAACCGCTCTTGCATGGGGCGTTGATTATATTTTGAAGCTGGAACGTTTTCTCTGACACGGTCGAACCATCAGTTTTTTCCGATTTTACCATCTCATTGTTACTACTGCAACGCCCTTCGTTGCAAAACAATGCAATGACTAACAACAGCAACAATTCAAACCTCATCGCACTTTAAGTAAAATGAAACCGCAGAATATTGTCGGACAAGCCTATAGATAGGTGTATCAACTGTTTCAAATAAACAATATGGATTATTTTTATATCAAATGTAGATAAGATTTTTACCGCACATTTTCATACCTCCGTTTAATTAGAGATTGGCAGCAAGTTATATTGCTGATAACAAAACAGTAATCATTCGTTCAATACTGGAGAACTTGTTTCAGACTAACAACTCGTTGTTTCTATAATCTGCTGTTATTGGTCCTTAACTTACAGCGTAAGAATGTGGAAAATATAAAAAAAAACAACATCGGAAAATATTTATTGCCTTAGATGGACACTAGGTACTCGATAAATCTAAATTTGTTGAAAATATTGTGTATTCTTTTTTGTTTTTAGCACTATTACTGGACTGAATTGTAGTAGTCCGCCACAATGGTACACAATTTTATAATTGCTTTTACTAGTAATCTCTATTTGCGTACCTATGGAATATTTTTGATGCATTAATCCTATACGAGCAGAGTGTCACAGGCGTCAGCTTCGTTAAACACTGTCGCGAATCACATCGGGCGTTTCTGGTACTTTAGTCAAAGGCTTGAGAGCGATTGGATGTTTTCGGCAGATTTGTAAGTTCTGAAAGTCACATGATTGTAGAAAAAGTATAGCATTCAAGTTATGGTTTGCGAACAGCGAATCTCGTTTTTAGAAACGTTCTTTTTTTCCTCAACAAACGAACTACAACTTTCTGATTAAGCCAATACAATCCACATTACAGACAATAGAACACTGAAATTAGCGTTTCTCTCAGTAATGTCATCAGTATCTTCAATCTCATAACTCGCTCCTTTGTAGTGTAAAATTGCAGGGACAAAGTGTTGTTTTCAGTCCATCTTTTTTTTCTTAGCATCTTACTGCAAATGGGTCTTGTAGATTTTCCATGCTGTAACCATCAGTAAAATTAAAATAACTATCATTCCCTTCGAAATAGCCAATTATTGAACGAATGCTGGGGTCGATAATTTAGCAACATCTTCCGGTAAGGTTTGGATCGATTGATTGTACTTGAAGTGTGTTCAAGTTAAAGGAAACCAATTTTCAAGGCTATCCTTTAAAATTGAAATAATGGAATACATGTTTGGTACCACATGTGTTCCATGATTTCAATTTTAAAGGATAGTCGTGAAAAGGGGTTCATTTAAAAAGCTTTTCTCTATTCCAAAACAAAGTATTTTGGGTACTGATAGCATAATTATATGGGACATCGATTACGCAATTGATGTGATTTAAGTTTTTGATTTTTGATGCTATTATCAAAATATATCGACTAGTTATTTGTCAAAGTTTACTTGCCACGATGGTGTACATAGTTTCCGGAGGCCACGAGGGTCAGAGGCGAGCTGGATGCTCAGGACTAGCCGTCAACTAGGTCAGACCAGAGGGAAGCTGGTTGTTAGAATGCAGCGACGTTAAATAGCTGATTGAGCGTTTGTTCGGCAACGCATGACCTTTTCAAAGAAATTTCTACAGGCTAATGTTGATGAACTGACATTTCGCCAGTTATCCTGTTGGCTTCTTCGGAGCTTAACTGTTAATAATATCAGTTAAGCTCTGAAGAAGCCAACATTAGGAGTACAGAAGATTTGTAAATAGCATGACCTAGTCAATTAGGACCAGCTCGTTTGAATTATGATACACCAAATCTAATTATAAACCCTGTTTGAATATATGTCGCCAACTGTATAGAGTTAACAATGGGCGCAGAAACATTTACAGTAACCATATGGCAATTTTATTTTCGGCACAAAATTTGATGAGCGTTGGTCACATAATCATCGATTGGTCTGCTTAAGTTAGTGTTCGCAAAAGTTCGCTGCATGTCAGTACTGGAAATAGGTGGCACATTTCAAAGATTTTTCAAGAAAGATAGGAATATGGACGGCAAAAATTATTTTAGCCTTTGCAAATTTACCTTGCAAGTTTGCTAACCGTTGTTCAATGCAATTTGTTTAATGATATTAAGTTCTTTGTTGTAATTTTCGATTGAGAGTGGCGTATTAAGAAGTCTGTGTATAAAAGAGTGAAATGCAGCCATTTTATGTGCGTAAGGGTGATTTGAGTTGTTCTGTATGACTGTGTCCGCGTGTGAAGGTTTATGATAAATGGAAAAATCTAATTTGTTTTGCGCTCTCAGAACTAACAACACAATAGGAAAATTTTTAAAAAACAATAAAACGAAATGTCCAATATCTCAAAAATCAGGTGTCTACAGGTTGAAATGCGGATCATGTACTAAAATTCATATTGGACAAACAGGTAGATCCTTTAAGAAACGCATTAACGAACATAAAAGAGCGTTTGAAAACAGTAGTCTAGATTCTAATTATGCTACACACTTAAACACAGAAAAACACATTTTTGACGACAATTTATTTTACATACAGCCACAAAAAGTAGAAAATTAAATTTATTGGAAGCAATGGCGATTATCAAAATGAGACATTCAAATGTATTGCTTAAAGACCAATTAGATTTAAATACAGCTCCCTTATTGAGCTAAAATTCTCACAACAACATTAATTAAGGTTTTATGAGACACCTACAAAATTATTCGAAATTGAACACAATAATAAAAAATGAACTTTTAGTTGTTTCCATTGGAAGTTTTTTTTTAAATTACCACAAAGTCCTGGTCATAAATGTTGTCAAAGAGTTGCATACTACACATTTTTTGATACTAACTAACAAAAGTTAAGAACCCAAATCTGTGACTAGTATTACCGCAAACTCTTAAGATGGCTGGCGCCAGTATTTAATAAAAGTGATGTTTTAAAGTGAAATTTTACCCCAGCCTGATCAGTGCAGAATTAGTTCTAGAGTTAGGGAGTACAAAAACATATTTATAGGAAAATTATTCCAGAACGATATAATAGTGGCGATATTTTCGTAGCGAAGGTAATGGTTTTATGCGTATGCTTCTTGATTTAACCCACTAACGTGCACTTTGAGCCATTTTCTTTCTAAACAGATTTCCACAAACTTGACTAGTATTCCCAGAATATTTAACGAGATCTAAGCATATTTTGAGAAAATACCGCCATGAAAACTTATTGACGATCTGTTGTTGATGAACGTTCTCGAAACATTTTTCATAGTTGCTTCATAAGTTCCTGTGTTATCGGCATAGGCAGGGCCTCCGCACAATTGATATTTTTTGCATGATGAATGTTCGACGATGGCGCCCTGATGGAAAAAAAAATTCAACAAATCAACCACATATAAAATTAGTTGAAGGTCAAGATTTATTTCGTGTTTTATGGTCCAATTTTTTTTCCTAAACGTCAGCACCATTTTTTATTATTTTCTTAAGTGCATTTGCAAACACACTCCTACACATCTGCGACTTAATATTTTGATTTTTATCTCGCTTCTTTGGCTTTCTTCTTAAGCATCTATTTATTAACAAGGATCAAACTGAACTGAAGATAAGTGGATGGTATATTTAAAATAACGTCTGACTTACCCAGTCACGCCATCGTACATTGTCGCTAGCTATTTTTCAATTTGGTTGTACTAGTGGACACTTTTAACAACCTTTTTGGAAGACAACTCCTTCTCAAATCGCTGCTCGACTTCGACAGTCCGTTGATAACTGCTTTGGATCCGTATTGCCACAAATATGATCTGCTTGAATTAACAAATATATAGACAAAATGGTACTGAACACTACTAATGTTGCTTACATAGTCAACACAATACAAAACGGTGAGATTTGTATTCCACATCAAAAGTATCATAACTGAGAAATTCCAGAATGCTTATCAGTTTCTGGAAATTATTTTGCATTGACGACAGTTTTAAATAACACTTGCGAAGCTGTTACATTAAATTTTTCACAACCTCTTGCTGTAGAAAAATTTCACTGTCAAGAATTAGAAAAAAATGATTTATTTAAATTTAATTAAAGGATATTCAGATAAAATCAAGACCATTAACTTTTACTAGTAAAATAAAACACCGAATAGAACCTCGGAAATACCATTCACAATCATATAGATACCCAGAAAATTATTAGAGCGAGCTGTTCCCTCTGGAATTCTCCGATTTGGTTAGTCCCAAAGAAAAAAAAATAACTCTGCTATTCAACAAATAAATCAAATTGAAAAACTCATCGAACGAAAATTATATCAGGTTAGTCTTAATTTTCAAAAAACAACATATCGAGAAAATATATATTTCATTAAAGATATTGTTAACGGAATTATAAATCTTTATGAAGTAGTTGATTTGATATTGCAAAATTTTGAAAATTCAATAACGTTTTCCAAATTAAGAATATTGCATCCTAGTATTATTAAGTTAAACGGAATTTTAGTGAACTTAAACAAATTTAAAAAAATGCTGGCTTAAATAGAATGTTCTCGCATATTAGCGTGGAAACCATAATACATAATACCATCGATAACTTTATTCTAAATAAAATAATAACTTATTTATTGGATATTCCAATAATAAATCCAAATTATTTTGAAATTTTCACTTATATTCTATCCCTATTAAACGTCAGAGTATCTTTAAGGTTGTTATTCGGCGTAATAAATATTTAATCAAAAATCAATTACACTCCTTGCGAAGTTCAGTTACTGCAATCATCAAAACCTACTTTTTGCGAACAGACCTACGTCACTGTTAGCAGACCAATAATAAATTTGCCGAAAAGCAAACTCGCAAATTAAAACTGTGAAGGCATCAGAAGTTAGACGGGAGTTAGTGGTTGACCTTGCCAATCGGATGTCAAACGAAAATCGACAAGACAACTATTGCGAACTACAAGAAAGAAATTCTCAGAACCCAACTTACTATTCTTTTCGATTTTGGTTACACGCCGCCGAATCTTCCTGTCGTGAAATTTCCATCTACAAGAAATTAAATAAGACGATTGGCATCAGATCGAAAATAAGATAATGAAAAATGGTCCATTTCTTAACTATGTGTCGTAAATACCTAGTATATGGACTAGTTTTGTATATACTTATATACTGTATATACTGTATATACTGTATATACTTATATAC